TATAAATTGGTACAAAAAGTTTTTGGAAAGAACTCTGGGGATACATATAAAGAATTGTAAACATGCCCATGCCCTCTTTCAATATAAAACTTCTGGGAATTTATCCCAAGGAAACAATCCAGAGGAAAGAAAAAGCTACAAGCATAATACACATCACTTAGAATATTTGAAAGTCAGAAGCAGTAAGACACCCCCCCCCAGCCACCAGGGAACGGTAAATTAAATACTACACTATAGCCCTGTCACAAGACGTGAAGAAATGACTAGCATTGTGAGGATTTTGCTGGCGACCTGGAAGACACCCTGGATATAAAGTGAAATTTCAAACCAGAATCAAACATATCTGTTTCAGAATCACCACTAGGTAAAAACTGTTCTAAGCTCACACACCAGGACTTGGAGGAGACCCTGAAAAAGGAAAGAGCTTCTCACTTGATGGGTAACATCCATGGCTACACTGGTTTCCTATTTCCCTTAAATGTATTTATGGTGCCGGTTCTGGACGGTCACGGTGATCCTACTTGTCATCTCTCAGAAAGAACTGGAAATGCCCTCCCTCAGGATTTTTTCAGTGCTAAAGCCACACTCAGCGGAGCTTCCTGGCCTCACTGGGGCCTGGGTGGCCCCCTCCACGCGTGTTCCCAGGGAGGCACCAGGGCTGGAGCATATGGGCTTCCACCAGACTGCAGCTCATCCACCAGACGAACGGTACACACATCACCTTCCAGACGCCACAGTGAGGCCTGACCCCCGGCCCCAGACAGTCATCCTACCAAATTCATGTCAGGTCCCAGGATGGAGAATAAACAGCCTTTCCCCCTCCTTCAAAGCGATGTTGCTGAGTTCTTAGAGCAGAGATCACACTGGCAGCCTGTGGACCGGATGTGGCCTGTAGGCATGTTTTGTTTGGCTCATGCACGGTTTTAAAAAGTTGGAACATTTCACATTAAGAAAAAAAAAATCCGGATTTCCAGCATCTCCTGAGGGGTTGGAGGCTGTGACGACACCGGGCCCGCATTCTGGGCTGGCAACCATCCACCTGCAGGAGCCCATGGGGGCGCCTCCCTCAGGAGGGGCTCTGATTCATCCAGGCCCTACTCTGGGCCAGGCCCTGCTCCAGCTGCTGGGAATCCAGCGGGCAGCAGACAGGGCTTACCTTCCCCTGGGGGAACAGACCACAGACACCGAATGATGGTTTCCATGTCATGAAGACACAAGGGGAGGAGGCCCGCCTGAGACTGCAGAGACGAGGTGCCTGGCTGGGCAGGGAGCCCCAGGAGACCTGGCTGAGAAGGACATCCGACTTGGTTCTGGCCTGATGGGGTGAAAACATTCCAGGCCAGAGGAAGAGCTTGTGCAAAGGCTCCAGGCTATGAATGAGTGTGCAGTGCCCCACAGTTTGGAGGCCTGGGAGACTGGATTTATTCTAATTACAGTGGGCAAAGCGCAGGGTTTTAAGGGGTCGGGGGTGGGCGTTTTGATCAGATTTATTTTATTAATATCTCTCCGGCTGCCAAGCGAAGAAGGGACTAAGGGAGGGTCCTTGGCCTCCCCAGGCCCTCTCCTTTTCCCTGTGAGCCTCTCTCCGGGTGTAGAGCACAGGGCCGGGCGCTCTCCAGGGTTTGGCAGTGGGTCCTGAATGCAGCCAACAGCCAACCTCAAGTGTAGCCAATGGGGCGAGGGACAGAAGCCCTTGACCGTGAGGGAAGGGAGGGGCCGGGGGGCCAGGACGAGGAAACCTCCTTTTGCCCTGTGACTTTGCCAGGGCTGACACTTTCCAAGTGTCACGCTAAGCAAGGGGCACGGTCTCCCATTCACAGACCTTCCCGGCGTACACTAGGGCTATTCATGGCACGAGCACAGCTGGCTGACCTAAGGATTCCTCAAAGTCTCTATGGCAACTTGTCCTTTAGCCATGATGTCTGCTAACATTTTCTTTGGCTGATTGCGTTTCCCTTTAAACCCAACTCCCATCCAACTTCCCAGGAACCAAAGGCAGCGACCCAGGGCACGTAAATCACTCACCCTGTGTGCGGATCTGCCCGCTTGGCTGACCGACTTCTTCTGCCCAAAGCAACAGCGGAAGCAGATGTGACTTAGTGCTGCCTCCCCAAACACCTGGGGCTAAGTTTGATGTAGCAAGCCTGAGACATGGGGTGCCCCACCCCAATATTAAGAAGGAGGGTCTCCCTTTTTGCAGAAATAGCTCACGTCACCAAGGGCCCCTTATGCAGCCAAGGGAACGAGACCATATGGGAGTCACTACAGGATGTTCAGAAGAACAGCGATCACTCTGGCCCTTGAGAAGAATGCCTCTGGCCACCCTGGGGTGGGGGGTGGGGACGGCAAGCCAGGGAGGAGGGAGACCGCAATGACCCAGCGATGGTCCCCTGGGCCGATGCGGGAGTTGGACCGAAGGAAGAGGGGAGGGAGATGTTCGGAACACATGCAGGTGTTACATGAGAGGGAGACCGGAGTGTCAGGAACCCCCAGGTCACTCAGGGGGGTGTGGGGCAGAGGGTGGTGCCGTGACACACCAGGGGAAGCCCCCACCAAGGACCTCTCTGCCCCATCTGGCACCCAAGCCTGTTAAATGGGAGTCCTCTCCCCCAGAGCTAATCCAGACAGCACTTCACTCAGCCTGTCTTTCTGGGCCACCAGGGCCACCAGAGCCACCCTTCAAATGACCCTCCACCATCCGCCACCGAGGGGCCTTCCTTCCCAGAACACCAGGCCAGGGGCCTTGGTGGCACGCATTCCTTGGGAACAGCTTTTTGTTCTCTCTCTAGTCTTGCCCAAGAATTTGCCTGTGTGGTCAGTGACTTTACATTCTTTTATTTTTTCAGATCCAGGACACTGGTTTTGTATGAATCTCTTCTTAAAAATGAATGTTCAATTCCACATGTGACTAGCAATTTAATACACTCGGAGCTCGTTTTAGATTCTGATGAATACAGTGCAGCTCTCTGGGCTGTCTCCCCGTGGGGACTGACTGTTCCCTCTGGTAATACGGAGGATACAGGTCAGGCCCACTTTCCCACCGCAGACTGGGGTACGTGATGGTTAATTTTACATCTTAACTCAGCTAGGCCAGGGTGTCCCGTCATTTGGTCAAACACCAGTCTAGACGTGGTTGTGAAGATATCTTAAGGACGGGACTAACATTTAACATTTAAAGGGGCCTCTGAGTAAAGCAGACTACCCTTCCAGGTGTGGGTGGGCCTCAACCAATCAGTTGAAGGACTGAAGGGCAAAGACAGGCCCACTGAGGATGCGGGCGGCTGCTACTCCCTTTGCTCATTAAAACTTCAGAAACCTGATTTCAGGAACTCAACTTGTAGACTCCAGAGTCTCACAAGGCTTCTCTGAAGACTCTGGCGTATCCTTGATTAACTGGCTGTGTCTGCAGGCCTGAAAGCAAGGACTGCCAGCCCTGTGCTTGTCACATAGCAAGGGGCTTCCATCTTGCCCTGCTGAGCCCCCCTCAGGCTGCGTCTCTTGCCGTCAGATATGCATCCAAGAAGACAGGTGGCAGCTCCAAAAACCTGGGTGGAAAGTCACCAGGCAAACGCTTTGGCCTCAGGAAAATGGAGGGTCACTACGTTCATGCTGGCAACATCCTTGCAACTCAATGCCACTTCCGTTGGCACCCAGGCGCCCATGTGGGCCTTGGGAAGAAGAAGCACCTGTATGCCCTGGAGGAGGGAGTGGTCCGCTACACTAAGGAGGTCTATGTGCCCAGTCCCAGCAACACAGAGGCTGTGGAGCTGGTTACCAGGCTGCCCAAGGGTGCTGTGCTCTATAAGACTTTTGTCCACGTGGTTCCTGTGAAGCCTGAGGGCACCTTCAAACTGGTAGCTATGCTTTGAATTCCTGGGGCCATTGGATGGAGACTGGAGCCCAGGTGACAGGAGAGGGTGGCACCAGGAGAAGTCAAGAGTTGGGGATGGCAAGGCCTCCTGAGGAAGCCCACTTGGTAATGACTGTAGAAGACTCTGAAATGACTGGCTAGGAAGCCTTTTGGGAGCCCTGACCTGGGGCCAAAAATAAAGTTTGCTGGGGTCAAAAAAAAAAAAAAAAAAAGGCCAGGTCTTCCGAATACAGAAATTTTCCTCCAGGCTGCAGCACAGAAAATCTGCCTGTTTGCAGCCCAGTACCCCAGTACCCCCACAGGACGTAGACTCAAGATTGAACACCAGCTCTTACCTGAGTTCCCAGACTGTCAACCTGCCCCAAGCTTTCAGATTTGCCAGGCTCCACCACCGTGTGAGCCGATTCCTTAACATCAGTCTCTCTTCCCCAAATACATATACGCATCTCCTGTGGGTTCGGTTGCTCTGGAGAGCCCTGACTAATCATAACATCGGGTGACTCCGATGGGGGGAGCTTCTGGCCCCACATCCTGGCCATCACCTCTCAGCACCAGACGGCAGATCGCTGCGAAGAACGACCCACTGAGCTCCGCTGCACACTAAACAACCGGGGATGGTCCAGGCTCTTCTCTCTACCTGGACGCCGCCCCAGGTATCTGTAGGTGTCCTCCTTTGAGTCTCTGCTCAGCATCCCGGAGACCCCGGAAGACCATGCCTCTCTGCAGCACACCCCAGCCTCCCCAACCTCCCTTCCGCTGTGGGCTTTTCCGCTTAGTACATATGTGGCCCTGAAATACGATACGTGGGCTCCTTCTGTTTGTTCCTTCTCTCACAACCTCTTTGTCCGTTGCTGGAAGATCAGTTCCATGTAGACCATGTGTTGTTAGTCCCTGAGACTCGCTCACACCTAGAACAGGGCCCTGCACACAGTCGGTGCTCAATAACTATTTGGTGTGAAATGACTAAACAGTGGACAGATTTGGGAATGTGGGGCAGAAGGAGGCAGGACCCTGTGGGTGGTTCCTCCCTGCCCTCGAACGTCCCTCTCCTCCAGGTCCTGACCACTAGATGGGGAGCCAGGGCCCTAATCCCCTCGGCACCTAACGGTAGCCACACAAAAACACATACCAAAGGGGGGGAGCCGCTCCCCTTCCGAAGAGCAGATGTCCCTCTCCTGGGTCCTCCTGCCGTAGCTCGCAGAGTAGATGTTGAGAAACTTTGAAGGGTGGCAGTGCAGTTTCAGCTCTTGGTCTTCACACACGGTTTTGTTTTTTAATTCATCTGAAGCAGAAACAAAAATCAGCGGCACCATCAGCTCCTCTCAGAAGGAATCGGGGAGCCCTGCCCCCCTCTGGGGCTGCACCTTGAGAAGGACAGTGGGAACCAACCCTCCAGCCCCATAGGGTCTGACCCTGGAATAAAAAGCGCCCCCTTCAGGAAGAGGGCGGGAATGACAGCAGGTGCACAGAGAGGAAACAGGGGCCAGGGACCAGGTACAGAAGGCAGGGCTCGCTGGGCTGGATTTGGGGATGGGCCTGGCCATAAAGGATGTTGAGAGAGAGAGAGAGAGAGAGGAGAGAGAGAGAGAGAGAGAGAGAGAGAGAGAGAGATTCCTTAATTGAAGGAAGCCTTTCCTCAAACGTTGGCTTGGACCCACATAGTTAAAGACCAGGAATTATCTGCCTGCAGATTAAATTTCTGGAGACAGCCCGATTAATAAGCCTCACTGCCAGACTTCCTAATGTTCTAACACCCCCATTTATATATTTAAAAAGAGAACATAAAAGCAAATTATTTCCTTGGCGAGGAAAAGGGAAAAAAGCAGGGTATGTGTCTTGTGAAGAGACCCTCTTTAGAAAAGTATGAAGAGCCTGCCCCTAGTCTGGTGATCCAAGAGCAACTGATGCTCAGGCTGCCATTGCGTGCTACCTTACAACAACCCACACCAGGTCACAGATTGTTTCCAAAGAATTTAGGAAAAGATCTGTGTGTTTGTTTAATCTGCATACCACTGTAACATTTCCCTTTGCAGCGTCATACAGCGTTGATGTTGTAAATGCGCTGCTCAGAACAATATAGTTGATTGGGTTGTTTGTTTTTTTTTTAAGAATGTACTGGAGGGATCCCTGGGTGGTGCAGCGGTTTAGCGCCTGCCTTTGGCCCAGGGCACGATCCTGGAGACCCAGGATCGAATCCCACGTCGGGCTCCTGGTGCATGGAGCCTGTTTCTCCCTCTGCCTGTGTCTCTGCCTCTCTCTCATCTCTCTCTGTGTGACTATCATAAATAAATAAATAAAAATAAATTTAAAAAAATTAAAAAATAAAAATAAAAAAAGAATGTACTGGAAAAACATTCAATTAATAAAGATGTTTCAGAATGATTTGATTCCAAAAGTAATAATAGTTAACACTCCAGACACAAAGGATCACATGTTGTATGATCCTATTTTGTTGAGAGCTCCAGAAAAGGCAAAGTTATAGAGACAGGACGTAGGTTAGTGGTTCCGTTGGGGTTGAGGTTTGGGAACCAAGGAAAATGATAAGAAATGGACACAGGACATTTTTGAGATGATGGAAATGTTCTATAGCTGGACAGTGGTGGTGATGGCACAATTCAGGGATTTACTGAAAATCAATGAATGGCACACTTACAATGGGTGACATTTATGCTATGCAAATTATACCTCAATAAAGATATTTCAAAAATAATAAAAGTTAATATTTATTGAGCTTGTCTTCTGGATTAAGCCCCTTTCTAAGATCTTTAAATGTATCAATGAATTTTATCATCTCTTCAGATCCTTGGCATGTTGGGTTTTGGATTTTTAGACACTGTGGGAGTGATTCATATATTCTGGATGCCAACTTTCGTCTATTATGTGTTACAGATACCTTTCCCTAGCCTGCCACTTACCTTAAACTTTGCAAAAGCAACGCAAAGCAAAACACAAAGGAGACTATGGTCATTTATTTGTATGTATAGTTCCCTTCTACCCACCTCCCCAACATTTTAGAAAGGAAAAAAATCACTATATCACCCCCGTACTAGATTTTTCTACTTTGAAATAGGTCAAGTTGAAGAATAAATATAAAAATGCTTTATAAAATGTCCAACTCTGTATTGATGTAAGAAGAGGTGGTTGTGATGATGATGGCGAGAACAAGGTTCAAGCCATGTTGCAGCTACAGAGCAAATGGGAAGATTTTTCAGCCAAATAAGCCAACAGGAGCTAAATTACAGGAGCTACTCAGGCTATCATGGAAAGCCAGGGATAGGGAGGAAGAATGTGTCAAGAAGAAGAAAAACTAGCCCCTCATAACCATTCCCCTATGACTACCCCTCCCATGACCACCCTTCCTATGACCATCCCCTATGAATCACCCCTCATGACCATCCCTCATGGCCATCTCCTATGACCACTGCCCATGATCATCCCCATGACCACTGCCTATGACCACCCCCCATGACCATCCTCTATGACCATCCCTATGACCCCCATAACCACCCTGATGACCATCTCCCAAGATCACCTCCCATGACCATCCCCATGACCACCTCCCATGACCATTCCCCGTGACCACCTCCCATGGCCACTCCCCCCATGACCATCTCCCATGACCACTCCCCATAACCACCCCTATAACCACTCCCATGACCGTCTCTCATGATCACCTCCCATGTCCATTCCGCATGACCACCTCCCGTGGTCACCCCTCCCTTGACCATCTCCCATGGCCACTCCCCCCATGATCACCTCCCATGACCATTCCGCATGACCACTTCCCATGGTCACCCCTCCCATGACCATCTCCTATGACCATCCCCCATGACCACTACCACCATGATCACCCCCCGCAAAGACCATTCCCAGATCCCTCATACATCTCAAGCTAAAGCTTTTCAAACTGATTTGAGGCCTATTCTATTCTATTCTTTTCATGAAATCAAGTTAGTAAATTGTGACCCACAACTCAAAAAAACAGAGTTTAGAAAACATCAAAGTGCATCATGCAAAAAAAGGATGAACACTATTTTATAATTAAAAAAAAAAACTTTTCAGTTGTGGGTGTGTTATGTACCCTGGGCCAAAATGTAAAATCCTTACTGTGCATTGTAATCAAGCCAATTTGAAAGCCCCCCACTGACAGGAAGGTGTGAGTGGTAAACTAGTGCAACCCTCGGTCATCCGGTCATCCGGTTGGGTGGTCGTGGGACTTCGTGTCCTGGAATCCTTGATGCTTAAGCCTCAAACTTAAAACACGAAAGAAAATAATTTCCAAATATAAATTCCACCTTTCTGTCACTTGTAAATTCCTGTGCTTTTCTCCACCCAACAGAGAAGCAGCAGTGAGGAAACCTTCAGGATCTCAAGATACCATCAGCTCTGGCGCTGATCAGCCTGGCTCTGTTCCTTAATGCGTGATGATGAGAACACTCGAGATTAATGAAAGATGTGAACCAGATTACAGATGCTCACAGAATCCCTGCCTGACCGAGTCTTCGAAGACACAAGGAACAGAGGAGGGAAAACTTAAGTGGTGACTAAGCAATGTTCAGAATGTCCTTTGCCCGGTCACTGGAATCTTAATACAACAGTTTAAACCTAAAGCCAAGAAAAGCTTTGTTTTCTTTTTCTAAACAAAAAGAACACCAAGTCTGACCCTGACATTGGAGGGTTTGATTTTGGTGAGTCACGTCTGCGCTGGTATGAGGTTTTCAGTGCTTTTTTTTCTGAGTAAATGCTAAATCCCACCAACACCAAAATACTGCCTTACTTCAAAGGTCCAGAATGAACGATGGCCTTTGATGCAGGACAGAGGGCATGGGTAGACACACCAAAAGAGCCCGAGCACCCTTCCAACTGGGAGAATGCTGAAAAATGTTAAGAATGCCTTCCAGTTGCAGAGCTCGCCAAAAAGGATGAAAACCAAGTCTTATCTCAGCAAACTGGAAGCTTTCCTTTTTAATAGGATCTTTCTTTCCTTTCTTTCTTTCTTCTTTCTTTCTTTCTTTCTTTCTTTCTTTCTTTCTTTCTTCTTTTCTTTCATCAGAACTTTTTATTTATTTTTTATTTTTTTAAAGAGTTTATTTATTTATTCATGAGGAACACACAGGGAGAGGTAGAGACACAGGCAGAGGGAGAAGCAGGCTCCCTGCAGAGAGCCCGATATGGGACTTGATCCCAGGACCCCGGTATCATGCCCTGGGCCAAAGGCAGACGCACAAGCTCTGAGCCACCCAGACGTCCCTCATCAGAACTTTTTAAAATTAGGAGAGACTTTTTAAGGCTTGTCATGAAGTGCATTTATTAGCCACCACCTCTCTGGTGTATTAAGGCCCATTCATTAAAGGAGGCCTCGATGCCCTCCCAACTCACCCAGAGTAACACAACACCCGTGTGTCAGGCCTCTTGTGATCCTGTCCCCAGATTATGGGGCAAATCATCTCCTGGAATGGAAGGGCCTGTGAGTGTCACATTACTAAGTGCCTGGGAGTTACTGCTGTGTGATGTTGGGTCCCTCGGTTCCTTGGGAATGTGCTAATTCACTGTCACCTAAGAGTGACACTTCCTGGTCCTAAAAGCAACAGGAAAACTAACAAATTGCTACTTTTCATAGAGAGAGAGAGAATTTGTTTTAGCGCTGGGCAAGAGTGCTCTGTGGTCTCAGATTAAGAAAGGCGGGGGCAGCCTTCCAGAAGGGTCGCCAACAGCCCTGTGGGTTTGGATGGCGAGAGTGACAGGAGCCCGGGGAAGGGGGACAGCCAGGAATCTTCTCCAAAGACAACAGTAACAAGGTCCCCCTCCTACTTCTGCCAAGTAGAGGGCCATGTGGGGCTTCCTTAATAACGCACACACCTGCATGTCAGCGGGGGTCCTTCGACGCAGGGTGGGGAGGGTGACCAGCCCCAAGAGGCCCTGTGATTACTGATGTTATTTACAACAGCCATGCATGTCATATTGTCAACATACAGAGAGAGATTTAGTCACTTTTAATATGTTTTTAAAATTTGCTACAGGGACACCTGGGTGGCTCAGTGATTGAACATCTGCCCTCAGTTGGGGTTGTGATCCTGGGGTCTTGGGATCGAATCCTGGATCAGGCTTCCTGCAAGGAGCCTGCTTCTCCCTCTGCCTGTGTCTCTGCCTCTCTCTGTGTGCCTCTCATGAATAAATAAATAAAATCTTTAAAACATAAAATAAAATAAAATAAAATAAAATAAAATAAAATAAAATAAAATTCGTGTCCTGCTATTGCCTGCACCTGGGGCCAACCCCACCCTGATTCCCCCCCCCCCCCCGCCGCCAAATCTGATGTCTCAGGGCCCTTCAGTCAGTCACACCTTCAGCAAGGATGACATTAATCTGCCTTCCAGAATGATGGCCACTGATCACCGAGGGCCAGTGCATGCCAAGTCCTGTGCTAAGCATCTCACAAACAGCACCGGAGTTTTAGTCTACGCCGTGCTGTGCTCTATACTCTTTACCGCAGCCCCCCTGCAGACGGTGCATCATCCTCACTTTACAGTTGAGTCAATGACCCAACACTGGAAGTTTCCTGACGCTCCCCGAGATCACGCTGCCACTGCATGGCACACAGGGGTATGAACCCAGAACTGCCTAAATCCCAAGCATCTCTGGAACCAAGATCCCCTGAAAGGATGCAATTTAAGGAGGTGAAGCATGATGCCCATTCCAGAAAAGAAGGTTCTTTCTAGTGAGGTTTTTTTTTTTTTTTTTTTTCTTTCTAGTGAGGTTTGCTGGTAAAATAGCTCTCCCAGCAGCCGACAAGCCAGCCCTGACTGGTGGTGTTTGCCCAGCTCCCTGGTGTAAATACTCCCACGGTGGCAGGTTTCACTGCACACCGGCAGAGCTGGGGAGAGATGCTTTCGTGATGAGGGTTGGGTCCCCGCACCCCTGGGTGCACCAGGGGCATCTTTGACAATCGGTGTCACGCTCAGGTTGGCACAGGAGACAGAGAAGAGCCTCTGGGGCAAGAGGGCTACAGAGAAAGAGGAGGGAGGGTGTGGGAATCACCTCCCTTCTTCTTTCACCTCACAGCAGCGACAGGGGCCACCTCCCAGCCTGCAGGGCCTCAGGTCACCAATGTTCATGTCACCCTGGGTGCTCTGGTCTCCCATAGGCTCAAGGTGAGAGAGATCCTAAAGCCCAACTCAATGTTATTAGGGGGTGGGGCCTTTGGGAGGTGCTTAAGTCCGGAGGGTAGAGCCCCCATGCATGGGATTAGTGCCCTTAATGCAAGAGACCCCGGAGAGATTCCTCGTCCCTTCTGACAAAGTGGTTATAGCAAAAAGATAGTCTTCTGGGAGGAAGGGGGGCCTCGGCAGACACCAAAGCTGCCAGTACCTACATCTCAGGCTTCCCAGCCTCCAGAACTACAAGAAATAAACCTCTGTTGCTCATAAGCCTCCCAGTTTATGGCATTTTGTTATAATAGCTCCAGCAGACCAAGACACGAGGGCTCTGCCTCTAATCTGTTCCACACAGGGCAGCCAAACGGGACTTTAAAACCCCAACTGTGCATCCTCCCTGTGTAAATGCCACCTTACAGAAAGAGTCCACCTCCTTCCTTGGCCATCAGGGCCTGGGGATCCTGCCCCAGCTCCCTGGCCGGTGCTCCTGCTTGCCCACCCACCACCCAGAGCCCCCTGCTTCCTCCGGTCACAGGCCTCCTTCGGTGCCCAACCCTACCCTGCAGTCCCTGGCTCCATCATCACCTGCCAGGAAAGCCTTCCCTGCACCCCTACCGGGGTCCATTCCCCCTTAGCTACTTGCACGGCACCAAGAGACCAGGGTTCCTCCTGAGATGTTTTTTGGACCCATCTGGTCTTTCTAGAGAAAAGTGATATTTGCTAGAACCTAAAGGACAAGAAGGAAAGAGCTACGTGAAGGTGTCAGTAAAGGCTCGCTGGCTGAAGGAACGTTGGGAGCCGTCCCAGATGGAATCACCATCCAAAAACCTTCTGCAAAACGTGAGTTCTCTTCTCGCCCAACAGCGGGCCTGGTGCCTGTGCACAGTGGATGCTTTAGTGTTTTGCTGAAATGAAATTAGCAAACCATCAGACCTAATCGCTCGGTGCAGGACTAAAGCTGTAGCCTGGCACTGGCTTATACTCGGGGTCCCAACTTCACAAGGGCCTTTTTAAGTCTTTTAGAGGCTGGTCCTTCACGCCTTTTTAGTATGAAAAGTTGCCAACACAGAGAAAATGTGACAAGAGTATCACAATACATGGGAGTATTCCTGCCACCCGGATTCTCCAGTCCTTACCATTCTGAACAAGGGCCAATTTGAAAAAGGATTGTCTTTTCCACCATGAAAGGAGGGTGGCCATTTTTTAAAAATTTTTATTTATTCATGAGAGACAGAGAGAGATGCTGAGACACAGGCAGAGGGAGAAGCAGGCTCCCTACAGGAAGCCTGATGCGGGACTCGATCCTAGGGCTCCGGGATCACGACCTGAGCCAAAGGCAGATGCTCAACCACTGAGTCGCTCAGGTGCCCCAGGACGCCCACTTTGGAGATTAAGCCTTGAGAGGGATGTGAGATCCAGAACACAGAGATGTAGAAGGGATTTTCCAGAGTGAGGCACGAGTTGACAAGAATTCCCGAGGAGGGCTCGGCTGGGTGTGCAAAGTCCGGGCCTGCTGGTGGGTGTTTGCGATCATGTGCACGTGTGAGTTATGTATGTGACAGTGTAAATGTGTGCAATAGCACATGCAGGTGACAGCCTGTATGTGTGAGCAACTGTGCGTACATTGATGAGCCTGATAGTGTGTGTGCATGTGAGTGTGAATGTGTGTTTGAACACACTGTATGGGGGAAAAGCCATATGGGCAGTTCCAGGCCCCAGTTGGGAAAGGGCTGAAGAGAGAAGGCTGGATATTTGCTGAAAGGTTCCAATGCATTCTCTCCAAGTGTGCACTTGAGACCACTACACGCGTGTGACCCAAAGCCTCACCCACCCCCTTGCACCCAGGATGCTGAGTTCCAGAGGCAGAAACCAACAGAGAACAAAACGCAAAAGTGATGTGTTGGGATGGCGATGCAGATTTTTTTTTTAAATGAATATTCCTTCATACGATCCTTTGGTTCAATATTGTTGCCACAACGTTGCTCTCTTCCCAATAAGTTTTCAAGGATTGCTGGGAGCCTCGAATGCTGCAGTTACCCATGGCTGACCCTCCCCACCTGTAAGTGTGGCCTGCTCGCCGAAAAGCAGTTCCTTTTGGCCTGCAACGGGTTACCCACACACCGATGTGCGTTACAGGTGGCACAAGGCCACGGAGAAGAGCGTAAGACCCAGAATAGAGAGGTTGCTCCAGCCAGAAACCCTTCGGCTCTTTTTTTCCTCAGGAAGAGACAGCATGTCCAGAGCCCCTGCTGGAGGTGAAAGCAGAAGAGGCGAGTTCATGAAGATCTGGAAGCAGGGGCTCCAGTGGCAATTGTGCGACTGGCCCTCTGGTGAGAACAAGCAGTCCTGTAGCGGAGGGTGGGCGTCCTCTGAAAAGGAGGACTGGCTCCTCCTTTGGGGGAAAAGCAACTGCAAGCCTCTCGCCACCCCTGACACCTTGAACATGGATACAACTGAGTTTTACATAGTAGGAAGGATTTGTTTTTTAAAATACTGTGATTTTAAAAAAAATATTTTATTTATTTATCTAAGAGAGAGAGTGTGAGAGAGCACAAGTGGGGTGGGGGAGAGGCAGAGGGAGAGGGAGAAGCAGACTCCCCATGAGCAGGGAGCCTGACAACAGGGGGCTCGATCCCAGGACCCTGAGATCATGACCTGAACCAAAGGCAGACGCTTCTTAACCGACTGAGCCACCCAGGAACCCCTACAAAGGATTTTTTAGATTCAGGGATTTGCAAGGATGCACACGGATATATGGGTGTATACACATGCAAGTACACACAAACCCACATAAGCTATTTTTTTAAAAACGGGTAGGACATCGCTATTAACACATTTCTAAGCTGGGCAAACAGCAACTAGCAGAGAATTCCCATAAGGGGTGTGACTGAAACAGGGAACCCACACCCCAAAGATGCTGTCCCCCTCGGAAGTTACTTACTAGGCTGGCATTTAAAGGAGACCAGGAGGTATTTACTGCTTCCTGGACAAAGGTCAGGTCCAAAAACACGGCTATTGACCAGGAGGTGGCAGGCCCGCTGGTTCTGGCATTCGTCCAGCACCTTCTAAAATAAGGGAGTAGAGAAAGGATAGGCTTGAGAACCACAGGCGCAGTGTCTGGGGGATCCCACACCCGGGCCGCTCTGAGAAGGCAGGACGCCTGTCTGCCTGGGCCCAGGCTCCATACCAAGCAAGAACCTTCGAGCTGCTGTGAGCTGTGTCTAAGACGAAAGCACGTATACCTGCGTGGTCAGGTCAGCTCCTGTCTCCTGATCTTTCCCAGAACAAGAAATCTGACCCAACGGTGCCAGACCCCCCTTCAGAAGACAGGCCTCTGATCTGCCTCAGCTGGAAGCGCTACCGGATGGTTCTGGCAAAAGTACCACCGCATCATGAGGGCTCCAGGACACATGAGCAAGATTCGAGAAGCTCAGGGTACGGGCTAGCTGGGATTTGGAGGTCCCTCCCGGGAGGGCAGAGAGAACTCTCTGGGGGATCAGGACTCACAGCCGGAGCTCTCCATCCTCAGAAACAGCCTGGCACAGACCACAAAGAACTCAGCATTTGGGGGAGACCTTGGAGACCCAACCCAAACACAGGCCAATGGATAAAAATCAAAAACCTGATTCCCGCTCTTGCCAACCTCGAGGGCACAAGACCCACTTGTTCCCTTCTTTGTGAAATACTTAGGCTGTACTGTTGAGCATTTGGCTTAAAAGTTTTCCTTCAAATATCTCTTTCTCTCAACTTTTTCCAGGCAGTTCACTCCGTTGTGAAGGGATCTGCTCTGGGGAAGCTCATGGAGCCCCCTACACGGGGTCCTGGGGGAGCCTTAGTGTCTCACTGCTGCTCTTCTACTTCCAAAATGGAACAAGCCCTGCCCATGCCAACCACAGAAGCCTTACACTCAGTTTCTGTGAACAGGACACCACGTCCAGTGAAAATTTCCCAAGAATTTACTTATTCTTGTTGGACTGAAATTAGCGCAGATTCAAGAGCCTGAGTCACCCTGCTTTCACAGTAGTTGCTGGAGCATCTCCATGAAGGCTGCTGGCCCTACCAGGTTATCCCCTCAGGGGCCCAATGGACGTGCATGAAGTCAGGAAAGAAGCCCAGGGAAACCCTGAGGACCCCCCGAAGACAGTACACGTCCTCATGGCTGAGGGTCTTCGTGAAATGACTCAGCCCTTTGAGTGGCTCCACGTATTACAACCCCAGAGCGGGACTCAAGGCAGAGCTGGCTCCAAACTGTGTAATAACAGCTGAAAAATGCACAGGGGGGCTTCCTGTTGACGCTCAACCCCGGGCCAGATGAGCCAAGGTGCCCCTATTCTCTCCCTCATCAGGCAACTTGACTCTGAGGAGGAGGGAGCACCTTGCCACGGTTCCCAAATGCCATTCAAAAAAGACACAAAATATAAAGGATCTCTTGATCTCTGGATGAAAGAGCAGTGCGCGGGGATGTTTCTGGCAAACAACCCTTCTGAACAACATCGGAGTTGTGTTCACAAATGCTAACTTGTCAGCTTGGCTATGGAAACATCCTCTTCCCTGGGGCCTGCCTGGCAGAGCCAGGCACCCATGTTGCAGGGTGAGGGTGGTGCCCACGCTTTGGAGCTCCAGGGTGCCAGGAGTTCATAGTTTCGCAAGGCAGGCGCTCCCTCCTGTCCTTTTGGCACCCAGGAGAGCAGGGGACGGCCCGGGCACCAGGGATGGGTGGCCAAGGATGATGGGGTAAGGACCAGGGGCAGGCCAACAGGGATACGGCTCCTGGGGGGCATCTGAGGGGGAAGGGATGGAGGGCGGGGCACACAAGCAAAATAACTGCTCTTCTCCAGAAGCAACATGTGGCCTCTCCTCAGGATGTGGAACCCACGTCCAGGGAATTCACTGGAACACGTTCTTTTGGCTACTCAGCTGCCATCTTTACCAATCACACAACCACCCAGATACTACGATGCTTGGGATGGAAGCAATAGATGGTGCGAGAAATAGAAAAATCCTTATACTATCACATTATTTTTGCATCTCCTCTCTGGGCCTTAGGGAGAGCCACACAGCAGTCATGCCAATTCTATGATTCTGTTGTCTTCCTAGGAAATCTATCTTTACCCACATTTCCTGTGGCCGAAAATAATCAAAGAGCCAAGAATAGTCCAAAATCACTATTGAAATACTAGCTCTGGGGATCCCTGGGTGGTTCAGCGGTTAAGCGCCACCTTCAGCCCAGGGCGTGATCCTGGAGACCCAGGATCGAGTCCCACATTGGGCTCCTTGCATGGAGCCTGCTTCTCCCTCTGCCTGTGTCTCTGCCTCTCTCTCTATCTGTGTGTGTGTATGTGCTCATGAATAAATAAATAAAATCTTAAAAAAAAGAAATACTAGCTCTGACCTCCTACACCAATTTTTGCCTAATACCAACTAAAAAAAGAAAGAAAGAAAGAAAGAAAGAAAGAAAGAAAGAAAGAAAGAAAGAAAGCCAGCCTTAGCTGATCCCCTCTCCACTAATTCCTGATAGTATCCCAATAGAAGGACAAATCAGCCAAAGGCTGCCAGAAGTCGCTGGAAACTAGAATAACCTCATTATCTATGACCGGAGAAGAAAACCTTTTTTTTTTCAAGACCACAATTGATGTCTCCCTTTCCAGTGCGTTCTCTGAGAAGTTGACCATGACCTCGGCTGTCTGCCTCCCTGTGGTTTCCACTGAAGAATCCACACCCTTCCCTCCCTACTGGGCTACTGAGGGGAGGGGTGGCCCTGGAGGTGGAAGCCCAGAGAGTCTGCACTGCACTGAGGAGTGAGTGCCTGGGATAAACTCACATTGCAAGTGTGTTGAGGGAGCTCTCCAGGAAGGAGGAATTCCATCTAGACTTGTTTGGTGAAGGATCCTTTTGAAAAGCAAATGGTAGCTCACCCGTGAAATTGGTGATTTGTAGGAATTGGGGTTTTGATGGATGAGGTTTGCTTGGAGTGAACTATATAATCGTCAGCATATACACAGAGAGACAGAGAGAGGAAAGGGAGAGAGGGAGGGAGGAAGGGAGGAGGAGGAGAGGGAGAGAGCGAGAGAGGGAGAGGGGGAGGGAGAGAGAGAGAATGAGAGAGAACCATTTTATCATCTTAAAGCGTCTACGAAAGGCAGTACCTGCAATGTGGTGGGAGCCACACAGGCTAAGCTGTCTTCCCTCTGGGAGGCAGGCTGCTGGGTGTTACACATTTGGTAATCTTGCCCATAAAATGCCGATTGGACACTTATCGTAGAATGCCGAGGACACTGCAGATTCAAATGGTCCCCGTCACAGGCATAGGCGGTGTGGTTTTGCAGGAGTTTGGTTAGATAACCTGGAAAATATTCAGCTGGGTTACAAGAGGCCCAGGAACTCACCAGTCCCCAGAGGTCCTGGGCTCCCCCTCGCAGGGAGGGGCTGGTCAGTCCGAAGATGGGAGGCAGGGCTTCCCTAGCAGCGCCCATGAAGGAGACCCCAAACCGGGCTCCAGGTGAGGCTGAAGGAGCAGGTGCCAGTTTTCCTGCCTGAGTGGTAAGCCTCGGTCTGGCATGGCCCACTGGATGGCTCGGAGGGCTCTTGCCCTTTGGGATTGGCCAGGAGCCAAGAAATCCTGAAGCATCTCCATAAAGCTGGAAAAAATTTCCAGTGGGTGTCCCTTGGGCATGTAGATGCCTGTCCCTGAGGAGATTTGGGTTGGCGGGTCTCCCACTAGCTAGAGCCTTCCTGGAGTGAGAGGATGCCATTTTATGTTGGGGTGACACCCCTCCCCGGTCCTGGAGAGGAAACCAGGGCGAGGCCTCCTTCTCTGGGGTAAGGCTTGCTCCGAAGGGAGGGGTGGGGGTGGGTGAGGGCGCTGTCACAGGTTGAACAGTGTCCCACCACAAATTCATGTTCACCAGCAACCGCAGATGCCCCCTTACTTGAAAATAGGGTCCTTGCAGTTGTAAGTTTAAAATGAGGTCATCCTGGAGTAGGCTGGTACTTGACAGGTGTGATGCTGTCCTTAGACGAAGGGAAGGGACAGAGGGAACACTGTCACGTAAAGGCTGGACTGATAACATCTAAAAGCCAAGGAAACCAGAGGACTGCCTGCAGCCACCACAAGCTGCAAGAGGCAAGGAAAGATTCTTCCGTAGAACCTTCCAGAGGCAGCCTGGCCTTGCCACACCTTGACCTCAGGCTTCTGGCCTCCAGAGTCCCGAGGGAATGAACTTCTGCTGTGTTCAGTCACCCCCACCCCAGCAGTCATTGGTTTACAGCAGCCCCAGCAAACTAACACAGGCTCCCGGTCCCAGCGGCCCTGGCTACTTCTCAAGCAGGCCGGACGAGCCACAGGGCCTTGGGCTCTGAGGAGCCGTGCGCGTGGCCTGGCAGGGGTGGGCGGCCCAGACCGCTTCTCAGAAAGGAAGAAGGAAGGTTCGTCTGAAATGCAGATTCTTTTCCTCCTTCTCACACCTCATGAGGTCAGTTGCAAGGCAGCTGGGAGGGAAGCCAGGGACTTTCTGGTGAGGTGTGTGGGAGACGGGTTTGGCAGGCCTTGGCCACTGAGGGGCGGAGGGGGCCGTGGAGGAGGGCAGTTTCAGAACTCCCCTATTCCCACACAGACCGCCCTGGGCTCAAGTTATCCACGTTGAAATTTCCAAATCCTCTCAGACCAGGATTCTCTGCAAAGGGCACCCACTGCAGGTCCCTGGCCTTCCATGAAAGACACAGTGAAAGGGACCGTGCCATCCGCCATAGGTTGGTCACGCTTGCCAACCTGAAGGTGAAGAGTCGGGGTGCCCACCTTCACATGTAACCCAGACCTGAGGTCTCTCACTGCAACTCCTTTCTTCCATTCCACCCTTGGAAGAAGGCTAAGAGGTCAGCTACCCCGACGTGGCTTCACTTCGGGAAGTGGACTCTTGCTTGAGCAGCAGATCTGACATCAGGCAGTAGGGCTGTGAGTCAGGGTCCTGCTGGTTGGAACAATGTCCTCACTCCCACTGGGCTCCCTGCCAGGCACCGAGAGAGAGGCCAAGCAGAGACTGCCCCCCTCGATGGTCCAAGAGCCACAGGTCAACATCTTTATTGGGCAGACCCCAATGAAGCCATGAGTTGTGAAAGTTCCAACCTCCTTTGTGGGATCTCAGCTCCCCGTTATGAGCCACACCCCAAATTCAGGGTCACCCTGATGCTGCCCTCGGCTGGCACCCACCCCGAAGCTCCCCAGGCTGGTACCCCCACCTTGTAGCTTTTCAAACTCATCACTAAAACTTTCTTGCCGGGACGCCTGGGTGGCTCAGCAGTTAAGCACCTGCCTTCGGCCCAGGGCCTGATCCTGGAATCCCAGGATCGAGTCCCATGTCGGGCTCCCTGCAGGGAGCCTGCTTCTCTCTCTGCCTGTGTCTCTGCCTCTCTCTCTGTCTTTCATGAATAAATATATAAATATATTTAAAAATCTTTAAAAAAAAAAGCAAACAAAACTTTTCTTGCCCATCAGCACATCATTCCCCAGGACCACGCTGGATGACCAGCTGACTAAAATGTTAAATTAATCCTGGGACTAATGGCTTGTCCAGCAGTCCATGTGTCCTCTAGCTAGATGAGGGAAGTGAGAAGGCTGTGGGAGTGTTGGAGGCACAAGACAGAAGGGGCCTGGGTCCCAGATTCCTGGAGAAGCTTCAAGGAGCCTTCTCCACAGACTGTTACATGAGTGGGGAAGGAAACTTCTGCTGCTTGGGCCATGACCTTTCTTCTCTCTGTCATGTAGTCCATCTATCCCCTATAAATAGAACTTGAAGTCCGTAGGACCATTTACATCAAAACATGACATGAGTGCATTGCAGTGGCCTGAACCCCGCTGCATGCCATACTGAGAGCCATGTTCTCGAGGCAGAAGTTCAATGCAGAGAATGGCTTCTAGAGGCCTTCTGGGCCCTTCTATACTTTGAGGGGAAAATAGAGCCCCTCCCAGTGTGTCAGTTCTAACCCTACGAGAAGATACTCCAGCAGTAAAATCTGCTGTAGAGTCAATCCAATTCCTTCTTCAAAAACTTATGCCTATGTGTAGGCAATGGAAGATTATTCAGCACTAAAATGAAATGAGCTATAAAAGACATAGAGAAATGTGCAGAAAGACATAGAGGAGGGACACCTGGGTGGCTCAGCGGTAAAGCATCTGCCTTCGGCCCAGGGCGTGATTCTGGAGTCCCAGGATCCAGTCCCACGTCCGGCTCCCTCCATGGAGCCTGCTTCTCCCTCTGTCTGTGTCTCTGCCTCTCTCTCTCTCTCCATGTCTCTCATGAATAAACAAATAAAGTCTTTTTTAAAAAGGACAGAGGAGATGTAAATGCATATTATTAAGTAAAAGAAGCCAATCTGAAAAGGCAGCAGACTATATGACCCCAACAACATGATAACCTGGAAAAGGCAAAACTATGGTGATGGTAAAAAAAAGACCAGTAGTTCTCAGAGGTTTGGGGGAATGGAGGAATGAGCAGGGTGGGGCATGGAGGATTTCAAGGCAATAAAACTTCTCTGCGTGACACTCTAGTGATGGACAAAGTCACAACACATTGTCAAAACCTACAGAACACAAAACACCAAGAGCGAATCCAGAGTAAACTATGGACTTTGGTCCATATTGTGATGTGTCAATTTAGGTTCATCAGTGTAACACATTTACCACTCCGACAGGGAATGTTGATGAGGCGGGAGGCTGGGCTTGCATAGGGACTAGGGATATTTGGGAACACTCTGTATCTTCCCCTCAATTTTGTCGTGTACCTAAACCTTTTGTACAAACCAAAGTATGTTTAAAAGAAAAAAGATTAAACCACCTGGGCTTCCCCAGAATAGTGTTACCTTTGGAAGGAGAGGGGTTAGTGACAGGGAGGGGACATGTGGGTGAGCTGGCCAAAACTCTTTTCTTGAGCTGAAGGGTGGATACATGTTTTACTTTGTGAAAGTTCACCCAGCTACATATCCGTGATAGGTGTGCTTTTTTGTGGGTAAATAAAACTGTTTTAAAAAAAAAACATTTACCTACAGTTATCTGACCAATGCTTTTAAAGCAGTGAGGAAAGTCTAGACATCATGGAGCCTATGGAGGATTGACAGGACAAGGGCAGTGGTTGGATACCACGATCTACAGCCAACCACATCTACACTAGATGCTACTCCAGAGTGACAGCAGGAGATGCTCGTGAGGACGGACACGGACACTGGCCTTCACACCTCAGGGTTCTCCACAGGTGCCTCCCACACCTCATTCTGATTGGCCCATGATGTCAGAAGCTGCTACGAGGTCAGGAGGAAGGACAAATCAGAACTACCCATGGTTTTCAGCAACACGGAGGACGTCAAGGACCTTTTTGAGAGGCAATTAATTGAGATGGTGAGTGGGGACACTAGCCAGTTTGGAAAAGGTTGAAAACTGAGTGGAAGTGGAGGAAATCCCAGATGGTTCCTGTGGTAGACAGAAGAGTACCCTCCACTCCCAGTGATGTCCCCAGGTCCCCATACCCAGAGCCTGGGAACATGTTCCTTTACATCGTAAAAGGGACTTTAGGGATGTGATTAAGTCAGCAATCTGAGATGGGGAGGCGACCCTGGAGGATCTGAAAGGCTCCATATAATCACCAAGGTCCTCAGTAGAAGGTCAACATCAATAAAAGATGCGGCGGTGGAACCAGAGTTTGGAATGATGCAGCCACAAGCTAAAGAATGTAGGTGCTTTTTAGAGACTGGAGCAAGGAAGCAGATTGCGCCCTGAAGCCTCCAGAAGAATGCAGCATTGCCGACACCTTGATTTTAGACCTCCGATTTCCAGAGCAGTAAGAAAATAAATCTGTGCTGTTTTAAGCCACCAAGCATGTGATGATTTGTTACAGCAGCCATAGGAAACAACACAGTTTACACAGATGACTCTTGCAACAACTTGGCAAAGATGAGGAGAGACACAGGGCTGAAGTTATAAGAACTCATGTCCAGGGTCAGATTTTTAAATAACTGTGATTAAGTTAAAGCTAGGGGAGACCTATGTATGCATGTGTGTCTATAAATACATATGCAGATGAGCCTTAAGTTGCATGTAAATTATGTTTCTTACTGTGGGTTGAGGTTGAACACATTCAAAAGTGGGCATTAGCAAGACGATGCTTGCAATGTTGGGAACGTGGGCTCCAAACTAGGAAATGAGTATAGGGAGGCCCAAGAGAATAGAGGTCTGCTGAGATCCAACAAGGTCAGAATGGGTGCAACCACACCGGCAGGCTGGAGAGGCAGGAGGTTGCACCCCACATGATTCCAAGGTGGGGCAGTTGCAGATGATGGAAATGTCCAAGAGGTGGC